AAGAAACCTCTAAGAAAGACAGCCAACAGCAGGCCTTTCTCATTTGCTTTTTTCCTCTTTCCTACCTTTTCTTTCCAAATTCTAATTCCTACTTCCGTGGGGGGGAAAAAGCCAGTAAAATCCTTTAGCCTCTTCTGTGAAGCGGCTGGAGGGGGGGAAAAAAAGCAGAAAAAAAGCCTTTAGACAAGAGGGAAAGAGAAAAGATAGAACAAGGAGATAAGAACCTTTTGCAAACAAGTCATTAGCCTCTGGGGTGAGAAAAGCCTTCAGTAAGACAGCAAAGAGAAAAGGCTGGGAATAGGTTGCAAGAGTTTATTAGGGAAGAGAACTTCTAACTGCCTTATATTAGGCTGGAGGAGCAGGCAGTCAAAAAGCATGTGCATTCTATCACGGACGGGCTTACTCTGACTCTGTCTCCTCTCCTGCCTGCAGAACGCCAGCACGGCGTCTCTACTGAAGATTACCAAGCTCTGCTAAAGACTAAGATCTATCTGTTCTAAGAAGACTGCTTTATTCTAAGACTCTCTCTCTAGCTAAAGTAGATAGCCCTGAAGCACCTAAGAGAAACTGTTCCTGAGCAAAGTAGCTTAGTGGTCCGCATCCAGAACCTACCTGAGCTGGGCCTGTCTCGGGCCCTGACAAGTGGTGTTAGAAGCGGGATAGTGAATGCCACTGACAAATGGTGCTTTGCGAACTTGGACTGAAAAAGAAATAAGCTTTAGCAAGTAAGAAAAAAGAGAAATAGAAATACTTAGAGGGAAAAGAAACCTCTAAGAAAGACAGCCAACAGCAGGCCTTTTTCATTTGCTTTTTTCCTCTTTCCTACCTTTTCTTTCCAAATTCTAATTCCTACTTCTGTGGGGGGGGAAAAAGCCAGTAAAATCCTTTAGCCTCTTCTGTGAAGCGGCTGGAGGGGAAAAAAAGGCAGAAAAAAAGCCTTTAGACAAGAGGGAAAGAGAAAAGATAGAACAAGGAGATAAAAACCTTTTGCAAACAAGTCATTAGCCTCTGGGGTGAGAAAAGGCTGGGAATAGGTTGCAAGAGTTTATTAGGGAAGAAACTTCTAACTGCCTTATATTAGGCTGGAGGAGCAGGCAGTCAAAAAGCATGTGCATTCTATCACGGACGGGCTTACTCTGTCTCCTCTCCTACCTGCAGAACGCCAGCATAGCGTCTCTCTGCTGAAGACTAAGATCTGTTCTAAGAAGACTGCTTTATTCTAAGACTCTCTCTCTCTCTCTAGCTAAAGTAGATAGCCCTGAAGCAAGGTAGCTTAGTGGTCCGCGTCCAGAACCTACCTGAGCTGGGCCCGTCTTGGGCCCTGACAAGTGGTGTTAGAAGCGGGATAGTGAACGCCACTGACAAATGGTGCTTTGCGAACTTGGACTGAGAAAGAAATAAGCTTTAGCAAGTAAGAAAAAAGAAGAGAAATAGAAATACTTAGAGGGAAAAGAAACCTCTAAGAAAGACAGCCAACAGCAGGCCTTTCTCATTTGCTTTTTTCCTCTTTCCTACCTTTTC